AAAAGACAACAAACTCTTTTTCCATCTAGCGGCATGATTAGTAATTAATACGGTGTTTAAAGTTTCAGATAACGGTTTTCTTGTATGCTCATCCCAATACATGGCCATTGTTTCCTCTTCCCTATATATGATATTTCTTGCTTCAAAAATATATTCTGTGACGCTATGAGTATTTAGATATTCATTTGAAAAGTTTTCATAATATTCTTGAGTTCTCTTTAACAATGGTTTTTCGAAATTTTGAATATAAACATTCAAATTCAATTTTTTCAAATCTTGTGGATCAATACCTAATGCAACAAAAGATTTAATGGCAGATGTAACGTTATTACGTTGAATTGTGTTACCATCTCTTTCCAAAGTAATTTGTTCTAGAATTTCATTAGTCAACAACTCACAATTAGGATCAAACATAACGTCCTTCCAAGACATTAAACATAAAGTGTTTACATCAAAGATATCTCTTTTACCATCACTTCTCTCTTTTTGAACCCAATATCTATTCATATAATCAAATGCATGGTTCAAAAAAATTGCACCAATAGTGAATCTTTTCCACCGTCTGACATAAAATTGTAGGAAAGTTTCATTATTATTCTGTTTAAAATTAGTAATATACTCCTTCAAGAAGTTTTTCAACTTTCTATAAATTTCACTACCAACTAATATTGAAGATTGATTTGATTGACGATCATTGTTGAACTGTCCAGATGAACGAGACTTGTTAACACAATAATTGTAAATCGCAGTATAAACTTCCATGTACATAGTTGGTGATAGAACTTTATCAACCCTTTTAGAACTTAAATTACTAGTATTGTTACCATCACGACCTAAAATTTGATTTATAGCAGGTTCGATAAAGTTCCAAGTAGCCTCCAAGTCATCAGATCTAGGCAAAGATTCGGACATATCTAATTGAGTACTACAACCCCTTCAAATTCACTTAAAAAACTAATCTAATCCAAAAGAAAAAATGCTGTTGTATTAAAACTGATTTAAAAAATTTCGAATCCTAAAAATGATGAAAACTTAAATTTTATCACTAGCTCAATCAAAACTTTTCAAAACTTTTAATATCAGCCAATCACTATCAATTGAAACTACACCTTCAGCACCCTTCCTACTTAAGATCAAGCTTCCAAATAGTTAATTTTACTTTCTAATTCTTTTATGGTCTCTCTCTTGATTAGATATTATTTCTACAATGTTCTTAATTTTTAATGGTACTTTAAACCAAATTCGATATCGAAATCTGGTGATGGGCCGGGTAATACTGGAAACATTATCCATTTAACTTAGCCATACATAAATGGTGTCAGTAACAGTGGAATTGGTTAAATTGGTGATCATAGAGGTTGATAGTTGTAAATAACCTTTATATTTGATTGTGTCTCCTTTCTCCTCTTGTTTTCATAATGTTTCCCTATCTTAATACACCAAATACTTGATTGAAAAAGTTGCGAACTAATCATTAGACTGACTGACTGACTGACTGATTGATTGATTGATATCTCCTTTAATAACAGTAAATATATATATAGAAATGTATATATATATATATATATATTAGTATATATGATTGTGGTATGGGTATTGTTCTAATATCACTTATTAGGTTTTCATTAATTGTTGCTCGTTGGTTATTTGTTTTTGTTTGGTTATTTGACTTCCTTTATTTTTGGTCTATGCTTGAAAATATTGTCTCAAAATTACTGTCAACGCTGGATTTGGCTATTCCAGAAGGGGAATTGTTTGTCTTAGAATCTTGGGTTTGAGGAGCTGACTTTCTCTACAACCCTGACAATACTTAATGAGAAGGTCATGACCCAGACAAATGTGATGATGAACAGAAATGAAGATAAGGCTCTTTGCTTCCTGCAGATATAGCTTAATTTGGGGTATCTATCTAAATGGTTGTCTTCAACACCATCTCCTGTGCAAACCCATCTAGGGTCATACAAAGTGTTAAATGCCAATGCCAGATTGGCACTCGAAAATATGATAAAAAATAAATCGAATAAAATCAGCTTTAATTTACCTAATGGATTTCTTATACCTAATGGTCGACCTGTATATTCATCATATGCGATGTATATACTATATAATAATGCAAAAGAATTGACACTTATGGCCATAATTGTGCTTGCTTGCTGTTTCACTGGGCCTGTGATACCATTCAATGGAGTAATTTCAGCTCTTGAATTTTGAAATATTCTAATCGCTAAACCTAATGAAACGGCACATAGTGCGATAATAATAAATCTGAACATCAATGGAACATATTGAGAATCCAAAAGAATATGAATAAGTCGAGGTTTCCATTTCACCATTTTCTTTTTTCTCAGTTGTTTCCATTTTTGCTTTTCTCTATTCAATTCTTCTAACCAATCTGTACGATATTGTGCTGTCTGAGGCCTTGAAATTGAAATCGATTTCCTCTCTTCATTTTCGTGTGTGCCTACATTAGAATAATAATATTTTTTCACGTTGGCTAAATATTCTAACCAATCTCTTCTATCGATATTATCTTTAAAATCTTTATCTCTTAACTGTGGCTGGCTAAACAATGCATCCAATCTTTCTTCACCGCCCCAAGCTTCACTAATATCAGGCAATGCTTCCTTTATGAATTTAGCCTTTTCCTCATCTATATCCATTCTTCCTGAACCATCAGTATCTTGAGAACCAGACCTCATTGAAGTTCCAGAAGAAGAGACAGTTGAAGTTGCCAAAAGTGCATTTCTGGGGAGTTGTTGATTCGAATATGCAACATTAGTACCTATATTTTGTACAAACCCAGCCCATTGATCAGCATAAGAATGTAGAAATGGATCAGTATAACCATAATCAGGTTGTTCGACATCAAAAATAGTATCAGTATTCAATAATTGAGAATTTCTTGTCTTCACCTGCTTAAAATTTGATTCTAAAGTAAACGGAGGTACAGTGCTTGGATAAAAATAGTAACCATTTAAATTCTTAATAGATTGTTCATCGTCATCACTATCAGAAGCCATAACTAGAAATATATTTCAGTGTATCAGACTATCTATCACCCTAAAATTATACCCCAACAATATATTACAGCGATATATGCAATAAAAACCTATAATAAAACTGGAAAAGAAAATTTTTTTTAACAACAATAACAACAATTACCAATAGGAACTGGTATCAACGACCTCTAGATTGTTATAGCTGACCCATGAACCTTGATTATCAATCGAATAACTGTTGACTTCATTCTTAATTGCAACTTTATTTATATTTTCGATATGCATCGAAGCTTAAATTTGAAAAATCGATGGGGCTTATTAAGTAATACAAGCAAACGTATGTTTAATGTGAAGAACAGATCATTAAGTTTCACCAGTGGAGTTCAATATAAAGCAGTTGATATATTGTTATTGAACTTAGTTTGTTGTTGTGTTTGGTGCCTTTGAATTGATTGGGATGAGTTTAATCTGGAAACGATACGTGAGTCGAGCAGAGTATCTACGAGATGGACATAAGATAATAGTGATACCGATCAGCAAGGGACATCAATTTATATACTACCATCATCAACAAGAGCATTTGGATACGAGTAAGCTGATTGTAAAAGCAGATCAGTGGGTGATTAGTAAAAGTGTTGGTCTTTGGAGGAGGTTAGCTGATAGTAATAGGTCTATAAATGTCAAGATAGTCAATTGGGTTGAGAAACTATTGAATCAACTTCCTTGGCAAGAAGAAAGTTTCAAGAGTGTCCCAGTAGAGGAGCATATAATTAAAGAACCTGGGTATCAATATGTTTTATATATGTTGGATAAGGATAAAGATGTGAATGTAGGGGTAAAGGACAGGGTGAACGAGATTAAAAAGATGTGTGAAGATGGTGTCAACTATCATCGTCGACATGCTATATATTGTGCTGTTGGGTTGCCGTTGACTTTACCAATGGCATTGTTGCCAGTGGTACCGAACGTTCCTGGATTTTATCTCTTGTATAGAATATATGCAAATTATAAAGCATACCACGGAGCTCTACATCTAATGAATATACTGAAGGATGAGAAGAGATATCGCATTGAGAGAATTGATGATGCCCCTAAGGGAATAATACCTGCCACAGATGGAGAAAGTGAGACAAATGGTATAGATCAATTGGTAGAATTTCTTGAGATTCCGTCGTTGAAGCATCCGTTGCAAAAGGCAATTACGCAAGAGCTGGATAGACCCAAGGGAGAATAATTACTTCTTGGATATTTTAAACTTGTATTTATGTATATCTGTTTGACATAAGTTATACCTGTATATAGCAAGAACATGGACATAACCTCCATTATAGTTTTCTGTTTTTATTTTGGTCTATCCAACTTAATGTCTGTGTGTCATGCATGGTAACCTTAACAGTATCACGTGTATGTCACATGATTATCACCTAATCATCCACATGTCACATGACTTATAATTTACCCTGGCTTTGACGTGTGACACGATAAGCAACTCCTGGCCCAACCCCACGAGGTCATTTCTGACGAGTGTAAATTTTTCGTTTTTAGCGTTAAACTTTAAAAAATTGCATTATAATAAGGATGAATAATGATAATAAATATAGTATATTTATAGTTTAAGATAGTAAAAAGATACGTTTTAGATTTGGTTTGATCCATATAGATCGATACGTTTTTCTAAACACACTATCTATCAATCACTCTCGTGTGTGTGTGCTCTCGTTGTTGTACACATCTCTCTTTTTTTATTTTAACTTAACCTTTTTTATACTGGTTTGATAACAAGGAAACTTATATAATCGGGTTAAACGTTGAATTTACTTTTAATAAGTTGTTTATAACGTTTACAGGACTGGTAATAGGTGGAATAGTGCTAGCTAGTTGGCGTTGATTCGATTGTAATTTTGGAACTGGTTTCGATTGGTGTATTTTTTTCTTACTGTTTGGGATAGACCTTTTGTGTTCATTAGCAATAGTAAAAGTTATAATATCAAGAACAATAACGGTTTAAGAGTCTTTACTGGTGGAGACTACTCTGAAAAAAAACAAGACCGAAGACACGAACAAGAACAGGAATAAGAACAAAGAACAAGAACAAAGAACGAAGAACGAAACAAAAAAAAAAAAGTACATTTGGCAATACTGATTTTATAATATTGAAAATAAATATAGCAACAATAATAAAAATCACAACTGCAATAATAATCATAATAATAATTATAACAAATTTTCTACAAATATGATGGATTCCGATATTGATATGGATGTAGATGTTCAAATGCAGGATGCTGCCGGTGATGAACAGCTGACAGCTGTTCTTTCTGAGGATCATCCTGACGCAGTTGGAAACTCAAATGGAAATGAAGACGGAGATTTAGATCTAGACGTAGATTTGGGCAATGATATGAAGCCAGGCTCGTCTGGTATCGCAGATAATAAGTCTTCTGTTCCTGTTTCATTAACTACTTCAAATATAGACCAATTAGACCAATGGATTGAACATATTACAAAATGTCAAATCTTGAGCGAAGACGACGTTACAAAACTGTGTAAAATGGCTGTAGATGTATTACAATTCGAACAAAATGTTCAACCTGTAAATGTCCCTGTAACTATATGTGGTGATGTGCATGGTCAATTTCATGATCTGATAGAATTATTCAAAATTGGTGGTCCTTGCCCTGATACAAATTATCTGTTCATGGGTGACTACGTCGATAGAGGTTATTATTCAGTCGAAACAGTTTCTTATTTAGTCGCAATGAAAGTTAGATACCCAAATAGAATTACCATCTTGAGAGGTAATCATGAGTCCAGACAAATCACTCAAGTTTATGGGTTTTATGATGAATGTTTAAGAAAATACGGTAGTGCAAACGTTTGGAAGATGTTCACTGATTTATTTGATTATTTCCCAATCACTGCATTAGTAGATAATCAAATATTTTGCCTGCATGGTGGTCTATCACCAATGATTGAAACTATAGATCAAGTAAGAGACTTAAACAGAATACAAGAGGTTCCTCACGAAGGTCCTATGTGTGACTTATTATGGTCAGATCCAGATGACAGAGGTGGTTGGGGTATTAGTCCTAGAGGTGCAGGTTTCACCTTCGGTCAAGATATAAGTGAACAATTTAATCATACAAATAATTTATCTTTAATTGCAAGAGCTCATCAATTGGTAATGGAAGGTTTTGCATGGTCGCATCAACAAAATGTAATAACTATTTTTAGTGCTCCAAATTATTGTTATAGATGTGGTAATCAAGCCGCAATTATGGAAGTTGATGAAAACCATAATAGACAATTATTACAATATGATCCTTCGATAAGACCTGGAGAACCGACAGTTTCAAGGAAAACCCCTGACTACTTCCTATGATCAAATTAATTATATCTCTAACACCAAAATTAAAAGTTAAACCTAAAAATATAAAAAAAAAAATAATATAGTAGAGATCAAGATAACTCAAGAAAGTGAACAAAAGTAGTCAATAAGTTATTTTAAAAAGCCTGAAAAAAAATATACTACACATGTTTTAATGAATTGTAATTAAAAATTATTTCTAAAACCAAAAAAAAAAATGATGAAGATGAATATGAAGTGGAAGATGATGAAGAAGAAGGAAATCGTAATCATTTCAATCATTAATTAAAACCCCCCAACCAAATGAAAGTATCATTTACATATATCCCATTTTATTTTGTTGTATATCTATCTACTTATAAATCTGTATATATGTTATCTCACATATCCTTTGAAATTTAAAAATAAATAAGTGACTAACTAAACTAGTTGATCTGACTTTAAACTTAAATCCCACATTAACAGTAATACCCATTGATATCTTATTATCAACTCTTCTGTTATTCTCTATGTAAGGCTGTCTTATTACATTCCTCCCTACCAATTACGTATATAAACGAGAATTATTCGTTGAATCAAAAATTTAAAGCTTTAAGCACTACAAAAGAATTAGCAAAAGAAGAGGTAAAGTCTCGTTACAGTGAGCTAGATAACTGGACTGTAGTATTTCAGATTGTATGATTGTTGAAATCAAAGTTAGTTGTAGTTAGAATTGGTTTTGTTTGCTTTTTTTAGCCAAGTTTTTGAGGAGAATACATTTCTTTTAATAGCAGTGTCTTTTAGTAAGAAAGTTGAATACATAGAGAAGTGAAAAGATGACAGATGACTTTGGTAACTTTGACGATGAACAGAATAATGATAGATACAAAGTATCAGCTAAGAAAACTGTAGATGAGTATACGAAATTGGATGCAGAAGATGAATCTTTAGCTAAATGGAAGGAATCTCTAGGGTTGAGTGCAGATGTTTTACCATTAGAATTCCCTGGAGATACAAGAAAAGTTGTAATTCAAAAGATTCAATTATTGATTGACACTGAACATGAACCAATCAGCTTTGACCTGACTTCGGAAGAGACTATTAACAAATTGGCATCAATGCGTTATAAGATCAAAGAGAAATCTGTATATAAATTGAGGATTACTTTTAAAGTTCAACATGAAATCATTACCGGTCTAAGATACGTACAGTATATCAAAAAAGCTGGTATTGCAGTTGATAGAATTGATGATCATTTAGGTTCCTATGCTCCAAATACAAAAGCAAAACCATTCTATGAAGTGGACTTGCCTGAAAGTGAGGCACCAAGTGGTTTATTAGCAAGAGGTAAGTATAATGCATCATCAAAATTCATTGATGACGATGGTGTAAACCATTTGGCACTACGTTGGGGTGTCGAAATCGTGAAAAGATAATCACAACAATCTATTTCATGTACAATTCGAACTATACTCAATTAAATTAACCAAAAGTTTTAAAATATCAAAAAAATTATCATTAATATATATTTCCAGTTTGTTCATCGTCACCTCAACTTCACAATTGATAAGCTCAAGAAACTAATATTAAAATATTCATAGCAGTTGGTATAATTAGAGATAGGATCTAAAATATATAACCATCATATATAAACATTAACAAGGATAATTTTATAGAAAGTAGTTTCAAAATTCCTTTTCTTGCGTCTCTAGGTATAATTTTAACGTTTTGGTTTGAATTCAATCTTTAGCTACTATTCGTTAAGTTAATAGATCCAGAAGAACTTACTAAAAGAGTTTCAGGGTTTATGTATAACCCAATTACACACTATTACATGGAATAAACGATGTCCAATGCATCTATCATGGTATTCCACACCTTTTGTTACTATATTTTAACCAAAATGAGCTTAAAATACTCATTCTTGATACTTAATTAATATTCCGAAGTCTTAAATTTAAAGGGCATCGCTATTTTTAAGGTAGACTCTAAGAGATTTAAAAACTATAGATAAAGATCGATCAAGATATACTCATTTAGGGTCATTTTTATTTATAGGTTCTCAAGGAGCAATTTATTCTCGTTTGGATATATTTATTTATTTCTTTCCAGGCCAGATATTGATATAAAACTGAGGTAAGCTATTTTTGGAAAATGGGAGAAGGTGTAATAACATTTGCTGCATCGACACCTTCTCTTGATAACAGTAAAGCATCAGGGTACCGGTTATTTACCTGTGATGATGGCAGATTATCAATGGTAAAGCATTCTTGTGCTAATAATAAGAATGATATCGGTGCTTCTGTTCAATTTTTTGCCTATTTGAAACCTAAATCAAGACCAATTATTCCACAACACCTTAATGATGATAATTTAGATGCTTCAGATTATTTATTAACTGCTAAATCTAATGGATTTATAGAAATCATTAGGGATTACAAGTATAAGTCAAATAATAAAGTAGATTTGGAACCGAATTTTGTACTAAAATGTATACCTGAAGATTTTAATGCAGATTTTGCATCTAGTTATTTAATAGCTTCTTTAAAATATAAAGATGGCCTATTGTATTGTAATATGTGTTCTGGTAGAATTTATATCTTTATTTTAAATTTACCAGATGATTATAGGCAGAATGATAATTTATACACTACATTTCCAAATGAATCTGTCACTTCTGAATATATGGATACCTTAACTAACGAAGAGGCAATTCTTAATCAAGAAACTAAATATATATGTTCAAAACCCTGGCATCATTTGTGTTACTTCTTAATCCCAGTGGAAAATGATCACTTAAGATATTCACCAGTGGCCACTTACTATGGAACTATGTATAAAGATAAGATAATATATAGAACTTCAATGTTCACTCAATTGGAAAGAAGCATTACATTGTGCCAAATCAATCCATATGATAAATTTAGCATAATAACCACTGGCCCTGATTCACCATTAATAATAAGAAAAATTATTATCTCATCAAGTTATTGTAACTTTATGAAATCATTTTTACACTTGAAAGGAACAATACAAAATGTATACAATTATGAAATAAAATCATGGAATACTATCTCAGTCTTACTAGGTCGTAATATAGTTTTCAGTTGCACCGAATTCGATCCTGCTTACGATTTTGGTAATGCAAGCTCTGTCACTTGGGAAGATCTGGCAAGAAGAGAGGGAACTGGCATATTGCAAAATACATTAGTTTGGAAAGAAAGAATTGTTCGCAATCCAAATGACTTGGAATCTAAAAATAATTCAAATTCAACAATAAACACCTCAGAGATTCAAGAAACCTTAGCTTCTGTACCATTGAACAGAAGACTTAGAAGAAGACAAGTCCAATTTTTTTCAAACAGAACTTTGGAAGGAGGAAGTGTCTCATCTCGATTAAGAGGTATGCCATCTCCAAGAGAAGCACTATCTGGTTTATTGAACAATGAAGAAGAATCACAAACCAGATACTTACGAATACACTGTACCGTCACTGATTTCCAAATTGTTCATAATCCAGACCCAAATTTAGAACTGTCCATAGGAAACTTTAGCTCATTTTTAACTGATAATTACAAGCATTTGAGTATAGTTTACACTGATAAAAAACAAGTGTGCAATGTATTCAGACCAACCTTGCAAGATACCCCGATAATGTCTATAACTCCAAATATTTTTAATGCTAAAGATGAAGAATCAATTGAAACATTTGACAGCGATAGATTCAGATTGAAGATGACATTAAATAATCTATCCTGTCACAAGAAAATATTTATGATAAACACCAATTTAATCATAATAATTGACATCGGGGGAATATTACTTTTGGATATCAACAATATTTCAGATCCTCAAAATTTACTAAACAATCCTCCATCGTCAGTAAAGGCTGCATTATTCAAAATTGGATTGTTGAACGATGCACTTGCAATAGTTGATAGTTTCAAAAGGTGTAATTGTTCAAATGTTTGTGAAGAATTCAAAGTTATATTTTCATTCATCGTGACAACCGAAGAAGGGTATGTTTTGGCATTGAGAGGAACTTTTGACCCACATTCGCAACTTGGAACATTAGAACTAAGAGATTCATTAAAACTTACGATAAAAGAGAAATATGTTGATAAGTTGACTTTGATAGATTTTGAACACAGTGATACGAGAAAAAAACGTCCCTTCAATGATGAAACTGATTCAGATTCAAATAATAAGCGTCATAATAGATAGAGACTCCCTCTACTTTGTATACTTATTCTTTTTTTTGAACAGCACAATAATAAATTTGCATTTTAATAGAAATATATGGTTATATCTTACAAAGCCGATAAAGAAGTCTGTATTTATCTGTGTAATACTCCACATACTCTAGTACATACTTTCATACATATACACATATATATTAAGAAGCATCCGAGCTTCAGTTACCTTTGATATTGTGAGTTATCTGTCATATGTTGAATTTCATGGGACGACAGCGTTCCATTATTTTCAAATTTCCGACTACTAAACGGCAATGGTATGATGACTCTGTATTACAAGTTCAAATACTTTACCAATAGCCCATGATATGATTCAATTAAGATATATGTTTGCAGTCAGCAGCTTGGTCTCTTCCCCATTGACGCTATTTCTGACATTGTCGTCCGACTAAAAGATAGCCAATTTATTATTTAAATAATTACACATTACAGGAAAAAAATTGAGTCATCTGACATATCTTTTCAAAAATGTTTCATGATATTTGGATTTGGTTAAATCATTAATGTATTCCGACGATTTATTTGGTGTATTTTTTACTGGCTTTGAGATTTTTCTCTTCCCAAAGATCGTATCCTTTCTCCACGACGAAGATTCACCTGGCGATACTGTCGAATCTCTTGATAGTTCCTCAGTGGGTATTCCTTTTTCTCTATTTTGCAATTCCAGCTTTATCTTTTTAATCTTACGTTCTCTTCTTATCTTAGCAAGTTCCTGTAATAAAAGTTCTTGGTCCTCATCCTCATCCTCATCCTCATCCTCATCCTCATCTTCTTCCTCTTCCTCCCCTTCATAATCATTAGCATCATCAGTATCATCTACTCTCTCTTCTTGACCACATGCAACACCAGAAGCAAGTAACTCAGAACCTGACCTGTCAGAACTACCGGCATCTTCACTTTTCTTGGCTTCCCTATATTTAATCTTGGTGTGTCCAGGCAACAACCTCGCATGTTGTGTTCCTGTAGGAACATAATTAGCACTTTTGGCCCCACTTCTAGCCTCCAACTGAGGTCTGTGAGAAGTAGTCATCCTAGTCTATATCTGTGTATCCCATATTCTAGTATAATCTACCATCTTTAACTCAGTCTTAAAAAACATCAACAAGATTTTGTATGGCTTTTCTTCTTATATCAGAATTTTTCAATATCGAAATATTTCACCATTGAAAAATTATATCAATTTTTAGAAAGTTTGATATCACCTACAAGAAGATTGATATTATTAATTAGATTAGATTGGTATAAGATCTAGGTCGATTGAGGGATACTAGGAGTGAGTATTGTTGGTTTCAGTTGTATGTCAGGCTGGTTTTAGGAATTTATTTGGTTAAAAATTGATAGTTTTAGGGGGAAACTTATTTGCTTACGATAGGTGGAAAGATCGAGATAAAATATTGGGTGGAAAATACTAGAAGGAATCCCATAAATAACGACAGTGGTAACTGGCAGAATTATAAGTATATAAACAAATATGCAAGACCATGAGGAACATGAAGATGGTCCTATAGATCAATATGGATCCAAGGAGGAGGCGATTGATGAATATTTTCAATCTCAACTGAATCCTGAACAAAATCCATTATCTGTTGGTTATATTTCTATTAAAGATTTTGCATACGATGTAACCAATCCTTTGCATTATGGATATTTTGAAGACGCTGAAGAAAGAGCTGATAATGAACTATATAATGAAGACGAACATGACGATGATGACGATGATGATAATGATGATACTAAAAGACAGAGTATTATTCTTCCTACAAACTACATTGTGAATCAAAGAGCAGTGGCTCTTTATGATTTTGTTCCTGAAAATGATAGTGAACTTGGATTGGAAGAAGGTGATATTGTCTTTATTAGTTATAAACATGGCCAAGGTTGGTTGGTGGCCGAAAACCAGGGTAGAACGAAAACTGGATTGGTTCCAGAAGAGTTCGTTTCATTTTTAGAAGATGATGAAGATTATGAAGATGAAGATGAAGATAAAGCACGTCCATTTTACTTAACACAATTCATTACACAATCCATAAATTCGACTAGCACAAATACATCTTACAATGAGGTGGATGGTGGTGAAGATGATGAATGGGAAGACGTAGATCAGTTAGAATCAGATCTGCACGAATCATTGAAGATAACGGATCAGTGAGAGTTAATACTATATAAATTCTGCATTCATAAAATTCTATACAACAATACAACGATCATTTAATATTATTGAAAACTTGTAGCATTTTTCTATTTTATCTGGTATAGATTATATGAAGTTTGAAATAATTTTATAAGAGAATTGGTTTTACTGTTTCAGTAGAATCTCAACTGGTTCGAATATTACTAATATATAACGTCGAATCTATATTATTAATACATTCAAATAAATTACATTGTATTATTGATACATTTTTGATATCGTTTAAATAAATTTTGATTCAAAGTCAAAATTTTAGTTCCTTTGAGAATGGCGTCTTCATCAACCATCGGTATTGATTTTTATTCCAAATAGTTTTCGAATGACTTATGATGGGAAGATCGCTTGTCCTGACTCGATCAAGTCTGTCTTTAAACTCTAACGATTTGGCATCTCTGTTTGATAATTTTTCGTTCAAATACTGTATCAGTAATATAAATGCTGCAGACAGACTATGGATTCCAGTCGAGATGACAACTGAAAATGAAACTATGGTCCATAGATAAGAAATAAAATCTTTGAGATCATTGGAAATCGTATAATCATCTAGGTGAAGATTATCAATTGTTAGGATCCAATGGATCATACTTAGATTAAAAATGGCGCCTACCCCAGTAGGACTGAAAAATCCTACAAAAAGAGCCTGTTTCCATGAATTAATAGCTGGAATTAATGGCCTCAATAATAGAACTATTGGCACGCGTCTCACTGTGAGTAGAACAAATGTGAATAATATCAAACTACTCGATCTGAGTTTTAGTATTCCCTTAAAATTACCCCATGGCAATATACTACCTAAAAATATGAAATAAGAATAATTCAAAAATAAATTTATAACCTTCGAAACCTTGAATTTTTTAATCCTTTTAGAAAACCAACCATCCCATGAAAATGTTATTCCTGCAATGAATGAGATCAATAAATCATTAGCTCCTACAATTGTTCCCAAACCTGAACAACAGAAGGCAAGAATAACATGAAATGCCAAAAATGACTCTCGATCAATCAAATTGTTCTCTTCAGCAAATAGAATAGCTTTCTTTCCAGAATATCCAATGACAATACCTAAAATGGAACTAATGATACAGATGTATAATAACAATGCCATTTTTATCAATGAAACATTCGTTATGAACATTCTTCTCATAGATGAAATTATTTAATGAAAAAAATAATTATAGGGATGAGATTACATTAATGCAACCTGATTCAGCTAACAAAAAATTTTTAATATTATCGGGNAACCGTTTACCAAATTTCCCGGAATAATTGACGGTGGCCAAAATGGGATCAATCGGGCCTTCCAGATGACCCTTATAGGGATCCCAACAAACTTGATGTGAAAGATAATTTCCCCAAAGACGGGG